CTCGGCGGGGCCTCGCTGCGCCCTCGGCCGGGCCCCGCAGCGCCCCGGCCTCGAGCACGGCCCCTCCTCGTCCCCTTCAGGCCGGCGCCAGACACAGCGGCTCGTCTTCCCCTTCATCCCATCCCCGAACACGGCCCCTCATCCTCCCCTTCACCGTGTCCCTAACACAGCCCCCTCAGCCCCATCCCGCTCCTCCCCACAGACGGCCCTCAGTGCCTCCCTGCCACCCTCCGTGCCCCGGCACGGCTCTCGGGTCTCCCTCTCCGCACAGACAGGGACGTGTCCTCGCCTTTGCAGCGGCAGGAGCAGCGGGGCGGGTGGGGGGTGGCCGTCACTGCTGTCTGCCCGCGCTGCTCCCCGTGGGCCCAGTGTGGGACCTCCCAGCACCGCTTCTCCATCCCATCTCCAGCTGGTGAGGAGCCCTCCAATGCCCCCAGCGCACCCACCACCCTCCACAGGACCCCCGGGACCACCTCCCTTGGCCGTCAGGTGCCTGCCCCAGCCTTGCCCATGTCCTCAAACTCTGTCTTATCCTTAAACCATCTGCAGGCAGGAGCCACCTCGGGAACTGCTGGTGGGACACTGTCCCAAAGGGCTGCAGGGACGCGCGGATCCTGGAGCACGGACACCAGCACCAACCAGCTGGCCAGAGCACCCCTGCCAGGGCTTGACTCGACTGCCAGACCATTCCTGCCTCAGAGGCAGTAAACAGTGACACCAGGACAGTTAGACACTGTGATGGCCCAACACAACGCCCTGCCGTGCACAGCTCCCCCTTGCTTCCCAGAGGAATTAGGCTCTTCAGTGAAGCTCATGTCCCACATGAAGAGACTAATTCCAGGAAGCCACAGGTCCTCACCCAGCTTTTCTGTGCTCCCGCAGAGCTCAGCTGCACCTCCCCGGCACCTCCCCACCCTGCAAATCCTGTGCAGCTTTGAGACCTGACCTGCAGAGGAATCCTGAGCCACCACCGGACAAGGACATTGCCCACCCTCCTGCTCCCATCCCCTCGCATCCCGCAGTCAGTTCCCGAAACTGGGGCTCTCCTCTTAGGGCCAGCAGGGCTTGGTGGGCTGCAAGTGTCAAACAGCTGCCGAGCCAAACTAGCACTGTACCAAGAGCTGCTCCTCCTCCTCTTTCTCCTCCTCCTTGTGCGGTCTCACCAGGTCTCATCAGGCAAAAGCAACTTCCTGGCATTGCACACAGCTCCTCACCAGCTGTTAAGAAAGAGCTGCTGGTTTCAAGGGAGGGCGCCTCAGAGAGGCTTGTCCAGAATGCTTTGGGTGGTCTTCAGCAAGGAGGTGAGCACACAGGAAAGCACCCACTGATGGAAGATGGTGAGTAAGAACCAGACCTGGGCTATGGTGGGCATGGGGACAGGACACTGCGAGCCATATGTCCTGGTTGGAAGGGTTTTGGGGATGTCCTTGTGAGGGGTTGGATGTGGCCAACACCCTCACTACTCCTGAAAGCCAAAGTCCTCCTGTACATCTGAGCTGGATGGAGCTTCAAAGACCTCTGACCAGTTTCTGGGCTTGGAGGAAGATTTTCTGAGTGAACTTACGCTGAATATAAACATCTGTGAAAGGAGGAGGCCACACTCCCACTGAGTCCAGGAGAGCCTCCACCAGCACAAAATGGATTGGAAAAGCTGGAACTGATCACAGTGATGGCAATGCTGTACATCCAAGGGCTCTGAGTAAGTCCCAGCTCATGGAACAAGCCCAAAATTGATCATTACAAACCACCAAATCATTCAGGTGTCAAAAATCCCAACAGCATGTTTGGGAATCTGGAAAACATTGCTTTTTTCACTAATTTGAGTGAAAGGCCCAGTGATGGTATACAGGAAATGGCACATTCATGCTGCTTCAGCACTGCTATACAACTGCAGCATTTGGGGGTTTACCAGGAAAACTGGGGTGTTTGCCTGGGGAACTTGCACTTTTGTAAGTCTGTATATATACATTTGATCAGTTATGTCTAAAAATATTGCATCAGCTTCTCTCCATATCAGCCTTTCCCTTGTGAAAATAAAAATTATGCAATCACAAACCCAAACTGAAATCCCAGAAGGATAAAAACTCCAAAATCGAGGCATACAGCTCCAGCGAAGCAGCCAGCTGTGGTGCAAAGGGACACTGTGGTCTGGAGACAGGGGGTGAGAGAAAGATGGGGAGGGTAAGGTGATCCCTCCCCTCTCACAAGGTCCATCTCAGAAGATTAGGAAAAATGTAGCCCCATCCCGTAGCTTTGTGCCATACCTCCAACATGGCAGTCTTCTTCCAAGAGCCGTTCACAGCCTCCTCCAGGCAGTGCTTCTATGGAGGCTCTAGAGAAAAGTGAATTTTGTCACTAAGGAAGTTAAAGGCAGCTCTATGCTGGAGCAGATGTGTCCTGGTTTGTGTGTGCACAGTGTGAACCACACAGGAAAGACACGTGTCAGAAAAGTAGGGCAGTCTGCTGCCTCTTGGCCTTGTTTTTTCTGCACACAGGCTTTGGTGGAATGAGTCTCAGCAGTGCCATCCCCACTTTTCCTCCAGGGAGGGACCCAATGGCCCTGTGCAGTCTCCCCCACCAACTCATCATGGAAAACAGGACAAGGGCAAGGCAGGTTGCTCCCATGTGAGCTCTGGGAAATCTCTGGATCTCAGATTCTGCCCTCAGGAGCTTTGCTACTACCACCCAGTCCCTCTGATCTGATGGTCCTTGGTAGTGTACAGAGGGTGGATCAGACCAAAAGACTCCATGAAAGGTCTCCTGGATGCCCTCGTGGTGAGGTAACCTGGTCCCAGTTTGGTGCAGCCCCATGTTGTTTACTCAGATATATTCAGGACCTTTTTGAGCAAAGACCTCATTTTGTGGAGAAGACTTAGTGTGAGACCGTGTTGAAGGAATACCACATTCCCCAGGGTGAATTTTGACTCATTCTCCTCCATGGTGTTTTAACTGGAACTGTTTTTCTTAATGGTTGCAGATGCCTCTGGAGGGGAGAGATGCCGTGGTGAGGCACCTTCGGGCAAAGTTCCAACAGAACAGGAAAGAGCCTCCCAAAGTGGGTGGCTGGCCAGAGAGTCAGCCTGCCACCTCTCATGGACCAGAGCCAGGACAGACCTCTGCCATGGCCTCCAAGGAGGATCCTCCTCAGGAGGTCCCCTGGAGCAGGAGGGACTGCAGCAGGGCCTCTCCACCTCACAGTACAGGTCAGAGTTTGGGACAGCATTCACCTCATTCCACCTGCGAGACCCCGGCGCGAATGCTGTGTCGGAAGAAGGGGACGGCTCCGGGTGCCAACTTCCACCCAGTGCGTGCAAAGCCAGCAGGAGATGTGTTGAACAAGAAGGTGGAAGCCAGCTCTGATCCTCCCCACAGGAAGCCAGCCCAGCAGACATGGCCACCTGCCAAAGACAAGGGGGCTCCAGTGGTTCTTGCCAAAGGCACAGCTGCTGCAGCCCCCCTGCTTGTGGTGGGAAGCCCCCAAAGGATGGAGCACCCAGCTGTGCCCCGGAGGAAGCCTTTGCCTCATGTCAGGGCACTGGGAGTGAAGCCAGGCAAGCCCCGGCGCCCTCCTGATGTGGATTTGGCAAAGTTCAGAGCAGCTGCACATCCTGGGACATCCATCTGTCCTGCCACAGAACCACCAAGGAGTGCTCAGCTGGGTATGGCCAGGCATAGGAAAGTCCCTCAGGAAAGGGCACTGCTCATTCAGGAAGGAAAATCTCCCCAGTTAGAGCCTGCAGCTCTTGGGAGATGGAAATACTGGGAAGGCTTATGGAGAGGTGTATTACCAAAGGGGCTGTTATAGGTAACAGCATGAGGATGAGAATGAGAGAGAAGGAGGGCAGGTGAGAAAACAAAGTGCCCTGTCCCTGGCTGGGCGCAAGTTTCCATCTCTGGAGTGTTTGTAGGAAGTAAGGTTGGAGTAAGTAACGTGAGAGATATTGCCAAATTGGAGTGAGCCCAAGATGGCCGGGGACTGGAGCACATGGAGAAAGAAGGGCTGAGACCCAGGCTTGTTCAGCTGGGAGGAGAGGGAAGAAGGGGAGACCTCACTGCCCACAGCTACCTAACAGGGAGAAAATGGGGCCAGACTCTTCCCAGAGGTGCCCGGGGGCAGGCCTGGGGGCGATGGGCATGAGCAGGAGGGGAGGTGCCAGGCAGACACTGCCCCACCGCGCTCCACAGTGGCCTTCCAGAGCCACGCTGCTGTGGTGGTTTCTCACAGTTGCTGTTCTGCTAATCCACACTACAGCTGATGAAAGCTGTTTCAAATACCATTTCTTGCTCAGTTTCTCTAACCATAAGAGTAGACTTCCTTTCCTTAAGAGAACTGAAAAATCGAGCTGGTCTATGTTATAATTAAAAGGTCTGGCCACGCTGTTGTGCTGGTAGATTCTCACATGACTGGCTACAAGTATTTATTTGTCTTGTGGGTCCTAAGGCAAGCTGCAACATCTAGAATCACACCTTGCCTTGATTTGATAATTTTTGTTAATTTTAAGGGCAATCTTAAGATATTTAGGGCCAAGTATCTGATCGTGTATTACTTGGTACCATAGACCAGCAGAGATTTGATGTTGTACTCAGGGCTTTGTGCCCGTTTTTTGTTGGTCTGGTTGACCAGGCTGGAGACAGGGCTTGTGGTACAAATAAGGGCATGTTAGCAGGGGTGGGTCATGCTGGCAATCCTAAAAGGGGCAGCAGTATGTTGTGACTGGTGATGCTCCTGAGCATGTGGACATATCCAGGACTTGCCCTGATTCTGGTACATATCTGAAATTTAAGGGTTTTCCATATTCATGATACCTATTTTGGCCTCTTCCCCTCTCCTTCCATCATTTGTCCAGGAAGAAAGTATCATTAAAAATATACAAGTAGGAAAATACATATTTAGGGTCCTCAGTGAGGAATCTGATGAGCTGTGCACCAGTGTGCTGGAAGAAAATCCCTGGATGGGCTATGGAGTAAAAAACTTCTTGCTCTATCGAGATGTGTAGTCAGTTTTATCTCCCCACCTCCCCCTGCACTAAATCCAGCCCAGAGTGGCTCTGACCTCAGGGTGTCTGATAGAGCTGAGGAGAAAATATGAAATAATCCCTCCCTGCTCCCTCCTGTTCTGCTGTTTGTCACAGGTCACCTGCAACCAGGCTGTGCTGCATCAGTGCCTGCACGGTTCCCACTGCAGGATGCTCCGGGAGGCATGGGGTAAGGACTGAGCAGCACTGCTGTTCCAGGCTGTGCCAAGCCACTGGGAAGGGCACAAGATGTGACAGCAAGAGGATGTTTGGGTTTTCCTGCCTGCTGCTGGAGCACAGGGTGTGGAAGCAGCTCCCACAGTGTGAAGTGCGGCCATCCCTTGGGGCTATGCTACCTCACTGTGGCCATTGCACCCTGTCAGCATCCAGCTGTGTGAGGAGCTGCTGGCACAGGGCACGGAGCTGCTGTCCAGCTCTGGCCCAGAGCCAGGGCCAGTCCATGGCCAGCCCACCCTCCTCCTGGCAGCCTGATTCCTGCCCTCAGCCCCCAACGCCGTCACTGCAGCAGCACCTCCTAACCGTGCTCTGCCTCACCACAGGGGTGAAGATGAGATCTACGATGATGTTGAGCCTGTTGAGCTGGCCAGGAGAAGACCAGGCCTTCTGCTGCCTCCTGTGTGCCAGCTGCCAGTGTATCCCTGCCCCAGAGGAGGTGAGTACAGGGGGGGCTTGGGTCTGTTTGGGGTGAGACCTGCAGCTCTGAGAGCCGCGAGGCCCCAGTGAGCCGTGGGCAGCGGCAGGGCTGTGCTAAGCCTGCTGCTCCCCCACACAGGAGGGCAGTGCGTTCCTCTTGTACCTGGGCACAGGAAACCTTGGTCCCCCCACACCTGGGGGCAAACTCAGGATTTGGTCCCAGGAGGAGAGAGCTCTTGCTGCTCTTTGTATCCTGTTTTGGCAAGTGTTTACTCCTCACAGCAGCTTCATGGCAGTGCCTCTCCTGGGGTTTGGTTTTACAGGTGGAAATGCTGGCCGAGCCTCTAACAGGGTTACCTTGCTGGCAGCTACACAGAGGTAATGGGTCTTTTTTTACTCTTTCTAAGGATCCCAAGATGGCCAGGGCTCCTTGCTGCTCTGACAAAGCTGCTGCTTTAATGGTCTCTGCTGGGCTTGCAATAGGAAGGTCTGTGGGGAAGAGCACAAGCTGTACACCTTGCCCTGAGAGCTTCCACAGCCCCAGGGCTGGCACAGGGAAATGCAATGGGGAGCAGCCAGCAGGGAGAAGGGGATGAGAGGGAGCAGAGCATGGGATGGGGTCATCTGAACCTTCCCATGGCTTTCAATGGCTGCAGAGAATCCCAGGTGTCCCAGAAGATGAAGACAATGACACTCAAGGCATGCAAGAAAGAAGAGAAGATGGACAGGGGGTTTCAGAAGAAATTCAAGGTGAGCAGCAGTGAGTGATCACTTTTCCCTTTGAGCTTCTTCTCCCCTTCTGGGAAGGGTGCAGTGCAATGGCAGAAAGGAGCTGTGCTCCACAGGGACCAACGATACCCAGATCACACCCTGCCTTGTTCCCCCAGGTCACACCTGCCCTATTCCCCCAGATCAGACCAGTCCCACAGACCATTTGGCCAGAGAGGAATCTGTTTTTTTCAAGGAGGGAGGGCGGTCAGACCTGCCTGACTCAGCTCCCCACGGGCGCTGCTGTTTGTGTTTCAGTTCGAAGGCAGCATCCATGTCCTGACTCAGATGATGGTCGACCCTGCAGCAACAGAGAAGAGGGGCGGAGCGAAGAACCTGCCACTGAGACCGGGAGAAATCCTTGATGTCATTCAGTTTACAAATCAGGAGCAAATCCTCTGCCGGAACAGCCAGAGGAGGTGTAAGTCTGCAGGGGGATGGGGCTCTCCCACAGCAGGGAGCACAGCACAGTTTTGGGAAGAAGCTTCTTCGTGCAAACATTCCCTGACAGACCTGACAGGTCTCCTCCACCTGTCAGACAGATCTGACAGGTACCATGCTATCCTAAGAAGGTTCCCACTTTTCTCTGCACAAACGTCCTGCTCTTCCACTCAGCAGCAGCATTTCTGCTGTGAGATGGGCTTGTCCTTTCCCTCTGCCAAAAGCTTTTGCAGTCCTCAAAGCCTCCATGTGGAATGGGCTGCAGATCCCTCAGGGAGAGGGGAAGGGATCAGGTTCTTCCCTGCCAGCTGCCATTCAGCCTGGCAGGCTCCTTCCTGACACTGCCCAGAGCAGGTTCCTCCTAAGGGTCCAGCTGGGCTGCCCAGAGCTGGATTCCTCTTTGTCCCAGCTCTTTCTGGGAACATGAGGTGTTGCTAAACCCTGGGCAGGGGCAGGTGCTGGAGTGATTCCTTCTCATGCCCTGGTTCCCAGCACAATCTGACATGTTTTTCTTCACTCTGTTGCAGATGGCTACGTGCCCCGGGCTGTGATGCTGCCTCTGTGAGTACCCTTTCCCAGCCCCTTCATCTCCACTCCATGAGCTGCAACAACTGCTCCATGAGTGGCCAGTACCAAACTAGTCCTGGCTGACAACTCAAAACTACCCAGCTCAGGCTGTGACCATAAGCCCAACACCAGCAGGTTCCCCTGGGGTGGAATCTGCCATTTCTGGTGTCAGGAGAGATTCTGTCACTGGGACACTGGAAGCACTCCCCAGGCTGTGGTCCCTCGTGTGGGACCTGCCCAGACACTGCTCAGAGGCTGCTGCTGGGACAGGGTGAGGGTGCAGCCCCTCTGCAGAGCCGGGTCTGGAGCATCCTGAGAGGGGCCAGAGTCATCTTAACCCCACTCCAGATGGTCCCAGCCATGCAGGGGGAGCACAGCACTGGGAGGGGCAAACAGGGCTGCAGGTGGACACCAGAGTCCACAGACAGTCAGGAGGAGCTGAGACAAACACGGCAGCAGGAGCTGGTCCTTGCCTTGGAGTTGGCAGGTGGTGGAACATGGGACACCACACTGCCCACAGCACCCCATCTTTGTCCTTGCAGGGACACTGACATCTATGATGACATTGAGATTTATGGTAGGTGCACAGAACTGCTGCCATACTCCTTCACTGGCCACAGTCACCACCACACCAAGCACCAGGATTCCCCTCCTCCTGACCCTTTGCTGTTTTGCTGCCTTCCCTCTCTCTCTTCCCTCTGTGTAATTTCTCTTCCTCTCCCTGAGGTATCCTTTACTTACTCACAGTTCCCTAAAAGTCTTCGTGTTCCTCTGTTTCCAGTTATTTGGAAGGAGCAACCCTGTTCTCAGGTTGCTCCCTCCACTTGCTGCCAGGCCCGGGGTGCCTTCAATGTCCTTTGAGGTGTCCCTGATCCCCCAGACAACTCAGACTTCCCTTTCCCAAGCAGTTCCTTTCTCCTGACATGCAAACTCCATCCCTGGCTGGCAGGTGGCTCTGAAGGTAGAGCTGAATAGAGACAACTGTATTTCAGCTCTGCTCACAAGCACACACTTTACCTAATTCTGGCAGGCTGAGCCAACTGTGCTGAGTCCAAAGGCACAAGAGAGCACCACAGAGACCTTCCCAAGGGCTGAAACACAAACAGCACCAGACACCAGGCTCCTTTTGTGAAGGAGCTCTGCTTCCTCTGAGACAGGCTGCAGAACCACCTTGTTCCTGCCAGAAGAGAACAGTAGCATGGCTGCTCAGCATGTGGTGCTGCACAGATCCTGTCCCGTGGGGCAGGGGGCCCCAGATCCTCCAGTCACACTGTCACTGTAGCTCTGTTTTGTCTGTGTAAAATACAGCAATGGTTCAAGAGGGTTTTATGGCTTTTTTTTTTTTTTTTTTTTTTTTTTTTTTTTTTTTTTTTTTGGCGGGTGGGGTGGGGAGAGAGGGATAAAATCAGGCCCATAAAGGTTTTAATATTTTCCCATTCCCAGAGCATCTTCAGCCTGGGACCCACCTGCCCTTTTGTTCTGCACCACACTCTGGCCCCAGTGGCACTCCTGTCCTGAACCGGAGGCAAACTGGACAGAGAAATACTCTAAAATATCTAAATTAATAATGGACTAGGTGCTCCAGCAGCATCTCCTGGCCTTGGGGCAGCTTCCCTGGAGAGCTGGCAAGAGGCTGGATCCGTTGGGGCAGATATTTGTGTGGGAACGTTCAGCATCACCTGTTGGTGCCTCGGGCTGTGTCTGCAGATGCCATGGAAAGTTCTGTCATTCACTGAGAAAGTTTCCCTTTGCAGACCCTGCCCTCATGAAGCCCTCACAGTTGGGGGCAGGATTGGGGTGCACTCACAGCCACTGGGGAGCACAAATCTAGTGCAGGATCCAGATCTGGTGGCAGGATCCACCTTTTGGTGGATGCTTTTGGGTCAGGAACAGTGAGAAGTTCTGGGGCTGAGTCCCTGCTCTCAGCCTGCACACTGGCCCCCATCCCAGGGGCTGCAGGGTTAAACTGGGAGGGTTCAGCACCTCACGGCGGGATGCCAAGCCCAGATTAACCAGTCGAAGACGTCACTTTCCATTATGGGAAAGGCTCCCAAATATCCCTGAAGCTTTTGGTTCTGGGGATTAACCACCAGCACACTCAGCTCCTGGCACAGAGCAGGGGTCCACTGGCGCCGCGGGGCCCGTGGCCATGAGTGGGGCTGGGAGCTGCTCCCAGGGGCATCATCTGGGCGGCTGAGGACGACCATGTGGGAGTGGGTCAGAAGAGCTGTGCTGCACTCGCTGGCCACGGCCCTCCTGCGCCTCTGGAAGGGGGTTCGGGCTTTCTGGTACAAAAATGGCCTCTTGACTCTCTCGATGCTGTCGGTGGTCACTGGATGCCTCCTGGGGTTCCTGCTGCGGGCGCTGGAGCTGACAGACCTGGTGAGCCTGGCTGGGATGGTGATGGGAATGAGGGGGATGGAGTGGGGCAGGGGGCAAGCCCTGGTGCCAGTAAGGGTCCCAGATGGGCAAAGCCCCAAAAGTTTTCTTTCTGCCCAAGAAAACTACCTCAAGGCAGGTTTCTGCTCATGGCTTTTTTCTCTTTTCTCTTTTATTTTCTTTTTTCAAAGAAAGTGTCAACAAATGCCCAAGCTATAGGACAAATCCTGCCTCTCTGCAATGAGAGTGGGGAGCTCTGGGTTGGACCCCATGGGGCTGCAGGAGTTTGAGGTGGGGTGAGGATGGGAAAGGGGGGAATGTTTACTCAGGGGCTAAATGCTCAGGTTTCCCCCAACACCACCAGCAGCATTGGGATCTGAGGGATGGGGTCCAGGGGATGGGGTTTGAGGGATGGGGTTTGAGGGATGGGGTCCTCCCATTACTCTCCCCAGCTGTGTTAAATCAAAGCACATTTCCATGCTTTGGAGAGGACCCAGCAAATAAATAGAGGGCTGGTGGGGAGCCTGGAGGGCTTTGAGGAGTCACCTCCATTTCAGGAGCCTAGGAGACAAATGCATTGGAGAAAACACATGAGAAAGGCACAGTTGGCTCGGCCCCTTCCAGGAGCATCGCGCTGCGAAAGCACCCAGCTGGGATCTCTGACTGGGGCAGCTGGGCCAGGGCTCAGCCCTGATCCTCAGCCAGGCTGCTGAGCCCAGGAGGGACAATGGTGCTCCAGGAGAGCTCGGCTGATGCTGGAACATCCCTGTGTTGCCCATTAGGATTTAGCAAAGTCTTGTCATTTCAATTAGGCCCTTCAGCATCAGCGCAGCAGGGATGATCTTGTTACTTAATTGAAGCTGGGTGTAATCTCCCTGCTTCCCAGTGCACACACCCGTGAGAGCCCAGCAGCCACCCGAGCTGGGCATGAGGCTGGCAGGGTCTTGGGGCTCCAGCCCCTTGTCCTGCCATGCATCAAGTTTATCCATCCTCTGCTCCAGCCCATCCTGCCCTGTTGACACAGCTCTGCTGTGGGCCTGGCAGCCACTAGAGACTGTCCCCAGTAAAGATTTTTGTCAAAAAATCTGGAGGGGAGCTGGAGAGGTGGCCAGTCCCTGCTTTCCTCCCTGCAATGGGAAAGTGTCACAAAGCTGAGAGGCCCCCTAGCAAAGAGATGCTGTTCAGATCTGGCATTACCCCTTGCACTCAGCTGGGCCCATCACAGCTCTGCTCTGCCTGAGCTCCCTGGGGACATCAGCCATGTCCAGGTCACACACTGGGACAGTGCAGGGACAGCACAGGGGAGCAATTGGACAGCTGCCTTGGCACCCCTCACAGCCCCAGCATGAGGTGGTGGCTACTCTGTAGTAACCAAAAGTACCTTCTTGTCTTGGGGCCAACTCAGATCCCTCCCTGACACCTCTACAGTGGCACAGCAAAATAGGGGGATCAGGGATGGACGGATGGATGGGTGGATGGTGGGTAGAGATAGGGATAGAGGGGAGGAGGGATGCTGGCCAGGCTGCTGGTCCCACAGACCCCTCACTCTCCCCTTGGTCATGGCTGTGGGATCCAGACTTTGGGGGTGTCTCTGCAGCCCTTTCCCATGTCCATGTGAGGGGTGTGGGGGGTGGAGAGATGCCATGGCACCACAGTTGTCCCATGGATGGGCCAGACACCTGGGCTCTCCCTGAGTTCATCTTTTCCACCTGCAGCCATGAGATAAATCCCACCTTTTGCTGCTACCAAAAGCTTTGGGGCACTTTTACCCCAAATCAGATGCAGCCAAGCCTCTGCTCCCTGATGATGAGTGCAATGACTTTTGGGAGGAGCCAGTGGTGGGGCCATGTGGAGCATTCCCTGGAAGCTACAGAATCAATAATGTTTTTGGGAGGGGACCAACCCCCACATGCTCCTCCCTTCTTTATAGCCAGGTTTGCCATCTGGCCAGTATTCCCCATCCCTGAGCCAACTCCCAGTAAGGGCCAGCAGAGAATGGCCTCATGGAGTGCCTCAAGGAGTTGCTGCCCATTCAGAACCAAGCTCAGAGCTGGGTCTGGTTGGGAAAAAGGCAAATTGATCAAGTTTGAGCCCGTAATCATTTACCTGACACATGTTCTGCTCTATGTGCAGGAGAAGCAGTATTTTTCCTTTCCTGGAGAGCTCCTCATGAGGATGCTGAAGATGCTGATCCTGCCCTTGATCACCTCCAGGTAAGACATCATCTTCTGCTCTAAAGCACCATCCTTCCATCATGTTGAAGAGATTGCCCTGTAACCCCCCATTGAGGAGATTACCTGAAAACTGCATGTGGTGAGAATAATCCTGGCTCCAAGCACCTGGCAGTCAAGCAGATGGCTTGGTGTTCATCAAACCCCATGATTTCCCAGCAGCAGTCTGCGACAAATCCTCACCTGGATTTGGTAGGCACTTGCACCCACCTCAGGTACCTGCACTGGCTGGGGTGTTTCCCTTCTTTTGGGCAGCTGGTGGTGTCAGGACCATCTGTGGGAGGTTGTGATGGGAGGGAGGGATCTGTTTAACCTCAAAGCAGATTCTCTTAGAGGGATTTGAGAAAGTTCAGGTAAAAAATCATAAGTATTCCCCAGTGATGTGTCTGTGTTTGCAAATTCCCATTTTATTGGCCCATACAGACCTAGAAATAAGGAACAGAGCCAGCAGTCCCACTGGGGTCTAAGCAAGGTCTTGAAAACCTTGTATGGATTAACATATTCCAAACAAAATGTTGGCATGTGCTCATCAGACACACACAAATGATCAAGTCCTTGTTCCCTCGAGGATGTGTCTTTTCTCTCTGGTTTGTCAGAGTTTGTTTGTTGTCCCATTTGCCTCTGGTTATTTCTGAGAATGGAGTGATCTCTATCCTGGCCACACCTGACCTGTTCAGTACCAGCCCTTGTAGAGAGGTCTGTACTTCACGTCCCTCCCTGAGGTGCCTGAGGGTTTCCCTTGGCTCTCAGCCCTCCCTGCAGCTCAGTTGCTGAGTGGTCTCCTCTGATCACTCTGCTGTCTGTGGGTGCAGGGTCTGCAGAGGCCTCCTGGGAGTTTTCTTTCATGTTGGATTAAACTGGGGATTTTTCTATAATTATTGAATGAGGGTGAAGTGGAGTCTTCCCTATACACCATCCCAGAGGGGACTGGGTGTGCTCTGGGGATCTGCAGATCCCCAAGCCCCAACTTGGAAAGCACCACCTATGCCAGGGTTGCTTTTCTGGGCTCTCTGGAGTTTCCAAGGCCTTTCTCCTCCTGGATGTGTGGCTGCTGAATGGGATCCATGGGCTGACCACCACCTCAGCCTGTGTGTCCCAGGGTTGGCACTGACCCTTGCAGCCTTCGATTATGTCCTGCCTCAGGGTCAGGGCTTGGCTGGGTTCTGCAGGGGCTCAGTGTGGGTCTGTAAGCATGGGGGGCACACTGCAGCCCCCAAACACTCACATTTCACAGATTCTCACGGCTGGGGATTTCCCAATCCTCACATTTGTCAGGTCTCTCTGTGTGGTCTCTCTGTCCTTGAGAATGTCAGCAGTTCCTCCCAAGTGAGTGGCCTCAGCAAACCCAGTCCTGCACCCAGCTTGTCCCCACCACCAGCACTGCTCTCCCTGCTGGGGCAGCCTGTAATGCCCTCTCTATTTTTAGCCCAGTTTTGCTGAGAAGTAGCTTATGGGTTACTTCTTAGGAAAGCTTACGTGTGCATGAAATCTGAACCTGCAGGTCTCTCCTGGGGGCATGGGGTCCATTCCCACCAGGATTTTATGAACCTTGCAGGTACCTTCCTTTGCTCCTCACAATGGCATGCAGCAGTGGCAGGAGGCAATGGAGATATAAGATAACAGTATCTCACTAAAAAGGAGCAACATCAGTTATTCAACATAAAAATAAGAACAACTAAGAACATAAACTTCTTACCCCTCACAGAAAACAGAAAACACAGCCAGACCTTGAGAAGGGGCTTGGAGGTGTCTCCTGCCCTTCACAGCTCAGCTTGGGTTCTCACAAGCTCTTCCTGGGTGTGAGATCCTGTGGGCACTGGCACAGGAATGTGCAAGAGCTCAGTGATGCCCTTAGGCTTTGGTTTAAAAAACCTACAGAAACCCCTCCCACCTTGGAAATTTAGCCCATCGGGTGCATCTTGTGCAGTCTGGGGAGCAGACAGTGACCACTCTGTTCTGTGCTGCAGCCTCATGTCTGGGCTGGCCACCATGGACTCCAAGGCCTGTGGGAAGATGGGGGTGATCACCATCACCTACTACCTTTGGACAACCTTCATGGCAGTGACTGTGGGGATCATCCTCGTGGTCAGCATCCATCCTGGTGCAGCTGCCCAGAAGGACAACTACTCCGTGGGGAAAGTGGTGCTCAGCTCCGCCGACGCGTTACTGGATTTAATCAGGTGTGTCACAGGAATTCAGCAGGGCCAAGGTTGTGATAACAAAATCTTCCCAGAAGGTTCTGAGTTCCCAGAAGACCCTGAGATCTCAAGGGGAACAGGAGAACTGCTGGCCAGGTGCTGGTACCTCCAAGACCAGCAACACGGGGTTCATTTCCCCCCAGCCATGCCCCTCTGGCCACTCTGTCACTGAGAGCCCCTGCTCTCCCAAAGCCATCAGCCAAGAGAAGCACTGCAGCAGAGATCAGACAAGAGTCATGTTCCCTGCAAGGTTTGGATTCTCCTCTGCAGCCCCAGCTGGGCCATGCCAAGCCTGGAGCTGGCCCAGAGCTGGGTTAAGGCCGTGGATGGGGTTACCTGGGGAGGGGTTGCAGCAAATACCCAGGGGCTAGGGCAGAATCTCCATTTATGGAGACACTGGATTGACTGGACCAGGCTCTGAGCAGGGGACTGCAGATGGCAGATGTCCATCCCAGGCTCAGGCTCTCCACCAAACCCATTCACACATGGTTCTCAGCCCTGCTTCGCGTTCACCTTCCAGCCTTTCTTTGCTCTCAGCTTGCACAGCTGTCATAAGCTGTTGTTGGCTTTCATGTCCTCATCTGGACATTGTGCCCACCAGAAGTGCTTCCCAGGATGCTCCCTGTGCTCTCATAGCACACTTTAACCCTGTGTCATTGGTCTCTTACAGAAACATGTTTCCTTCTAACCTCGTTGAAGCTTCGTTCCAGCAGGTGAGTTCCCCTGACCTCTCTGCGTGCTCAGCTCCGCACGGGGCTGCCTCTGCCCACCCACAGCCTGGACAGGAGCCCCTTCCCTTCCCTGAACTTCCCCTTCCCTTCCTCTGCATCCCCCCACACTCACCCTGGGCGGGCACCTGAAGGTAGGAGGGTGTCGGGGGGCACAAGCTCGCAGGGACCCCCGTGCCTGCCCCCAGCCTGCAAGGCTCTCTAGGGAAGCAGCACACACCGCTCCGAGCGCTTGAGAAGGGCGGCAGCAGGCAGGGAAGGGGACACAAAGAAGGGACACAAAGAAGGGACACAAAGAAGGGACGCCTGAGGGAAGGTAGAGTGGTCAAAGGGGACAGACGGAGTGGCCAGGTAGGCTGGAGGGACAGGGAAAATAAGCAAACTCTCGACATTGGGAAAGCATCGGTAAAGCTGCCAGGAGGAGGGATGGACGGACAGAGGGACCCCAGTGCTGTGCTGGCATCCCGCAGGGACCCGGCTCACCAACACCACAAGTCTGCTCTGCAGCCTTAGCTGAGGACAGTCTGCAGCCAACAGCCACAGCTCCCCTTGCCTGACTCTCACTCCTTGTTTCCACCAGGCTTTCACCGCCTGGAAACCAAACCTTTAACCTCCAGGAGCACCCAGCCTAGGGCTGGCTTGGCCTCCGTGTTGAGGGCAGGACAGAGCTCATGCCAGCAGCACACTAACCTCCTCCTTTGCTTCTGTTCCAGTACCGAACTGTTCTTGTTCCAGTGGTGAAGTCTCCTGGATTTCCAAAGATCCCAGGAAAACCTGTCAATTTTATTTACTTTGCACCTGATGACAAGAACCCTGAAATCCATCGGCCTGTGTTCCTTGAGCTGACACCATCACCTGAGATGACCTACAGGACCCTGGCTGGGACCAGCAATGAGATGAATGTCCTGGGCATTGTCATCTTCTCAGCAACCATAGGTACCTGCTCCTCCACGGGCCAGGGCAGCCCAGGGTGCCACTGCTGTGGCCACCACACTTTACAGAGCCAAAGATGTGGGACAAGGTTCTCTCAGCTCCCATTGCCCCAGTCCCTGGGAACTGGGCTCAGCACAGAGCTCGTGCCAGGGCTCCTGTCAGCAGCACCTGTGGTGGAGCTCACTAAAGGTGTAGGCACGGGGAAGGCTGCTTTTATCCCAAACTTCCTTCACAGCCCACGTGCGGGTCCTGAGGGTTTTCAAACTATTACATAAACTGGGGATTCTGTTTAATGAAGCCTGAAGTGAGGTGTAATTTTGCAGAGGCTACCTGGGACACAGCTCACCACAAAGCCCCACAGCCTTCATGCTGAGTGTTCAGCCCCGGAGCAGGCAGGACGTCACAGCAGGGTCAGATTTGGTGCTGTTACAAATATATGAGGATTCCCAAAAGGACTTTCTGAAGGAGGTAGGGCAGCAGCCTGCATTGAACAGCTGGCAGTCCTGTGTGGAAAGGCGCTTGGCAGCAATTTTGGGAAGGAAGAAGGAGTAGAGGATGTGGAGAGACACGTGCAAGAGAGGAGGTTTAAAGGGGAGAAAGTCATTGAAAGGAACTTGAAGCTGCCTCAAAGCGTAAGAGGACATTGGCACAAGGCTGAGGGAGAAAGGGAGGAAGGAGGGATCAGAAAGGAAAAAGAGTAGGAGGCAGTGAGACGAGCATGGTGGCAGGATTATGTGTAGATTAAGAGGTGAGGGCAAGGAGCTTGAACTTTGTGTATAAGGAACCAAAAAGCCAATTAGAGGATTTGAGGTGTGGAGGCAGCGCAGCCAGCACAGCACCGGAGCAGTCAGAGCCTCGGGGAGCAGCCAGTTCCAAATGTGAGACCTCAGAGGCCACAGGGAGGCTGGGCAGAGCCAGAGCCACTGACAGAAGGTGTCTCTGGCAATCTCCTGTCCCAGCACCAACAGCCTCTGCACACCTTGGACACCCAGGAAAGCTGTTGAGCTCATGCCCACAGGACACGTGCCCCCTCCAGCCCTGCCAAACCTGCAAGGAGAAGCTGCTTTTCTCTTCTAAGATGACACTCCACAACCCCTCCAGCGTGGGAGTGGGATCAGCCAGAGTTAGGAGGCAGTGGGAGATCACCTGAGCCAGCCCCAGCCACCACCTGCACTTCCCATGTTTTGCCCAGGATTAGAGCTCCACGAAGCTACAGACTGGCACAGCATCACCTGCACCAGGCACAGGCAGCTTGATAAAGGGCATTCATACACCCCCAGGGGGCTTTCCTTATGAGGAGAGGCTGAACTGGCAGAAAACAGGAGAGGGACAGGCAGGGCACCACAGTCCCATGCCCTGGGGAACCGGGATCACCTCCTCCGTGCAGCACAGTGGGGGGCAGGGGGAAGCTGGTTGAGCTCTCACAGTGTATTTGTGTCCAACACCAAAACTAGGCAGGTTGTGGTGCTGAGACCAAGGCATCCATGCAGCACCCACTAGGTACCCAGAGTGACTTTGCTGTGAGGGGTGACCCCACACAGCTGCCCCAGCTCTGACAGTTCTTCACTGTCACTGAGGGCCTCTCTGTTGCTTTTGAAACCCATGAGAGGCCAGAGCTTTAACATCCTTATCTGTCTGTTTACTTGGGCCATGTCTCCTAAATCAGCTCTGTAGGACCTGAAGAGAAATTACTTTCTTCCAAAGCAGCTGTTGTGGCTAGCAAATACTGGATGGATGTCCACAGAGCAGAGATTTAAACATGCCAAGCCTTGTCTCATTTCTGGCTAATGTGACCCCACCTCATCTCTCTTTTGAGCAAGGCAGGAGATCCAACCACCAACCAAGGGCTTCTTGGAGTCCTCAACCCTGAAGAATGAAGAGGGATAAGCAGGACAAGATCCTGTATATATTCTCCTTTTCCAAGATAAAGCAGACACCCACAGAGTGCTTCAAAATGAATTTTAGCCAACACAGGAGGAAGGACTTGCACCAAGCTGGAAACAAGATGGGCAAATGCTCAAAGGTTCCTTTTCCCTTTGCTTGATGGGTTCCTGGAAAGCCTCCCAGCCAGTGAAAGCAATGGGGTTTAGCACTGGCAGACAGGACACCATAACCCTTCCAACCATTCAAACCACAGCCTGTATTTCTGCTCTAGTATTCCTTCAACAGAAAATTAGGCTGGATTAGGTTAATGCAACAGCATCAAAGGAAAAAAACAGACTCAGGAGAGAAGGCTTAATGCCTGTATCTAAGCAACTCACTCAGATCCTTCCTGACATCACATTGTACAGCCACATGTGTTGTCACCACCACGGCACAGCCTGTGAGGCACCAACAATGAAGAGCCCAGCCCAGGAGGGAACTGGGTGTGGGGCCTGAGCACTGCTCAGTCCCTGTGGCAGCTGGGGCCCCTTTCACTCCACAGCAGGGCAGGGATGCAGCACAGCATCACATTCTCAGCTACAGAGAGCCCTACCACACCTTATCCTTGAAATTCCATTTTTATTTCCAGAGGTCATTATTCTTGTATTACCAAATAGCAATCCAGATATCCACCTAATCCAGCTAATCCACAGTTTATCCACCCCAGGAATGACTCCTAGCATTGAGCAGCAGTGAAGTTTATCTGTTTTCTGTGCAAGGAAGAGTCCAAATCCTGGATTTGGGTCTGGTGGGGCTTTGTGAGAAAAGGCCAGATGCTTGTGCTTGCTTGGAACAGAGAATGGCTCTGACTTGTAAGAGCACACGGCAACCAGTACTAAATCAGGTTTTGCCTGGTGACCCCCATTCTGTGGCCAGCAGACCCTCAAGACACTTGGCCTGTCACGTGCTGCTCCCAAGTAACCTGCTGTGCTTGCTTGCAGGACTTCTCCTGGGAAAAATGGGCGAGCGAGGAGCCCCGCTGGTTAACGTGTGCCAGTGTCTGAATGAAGCAGTTATGAAAATTGTCTCGATGGCCGTTTGGTAAATCTGGTTTTGATTGATTCATTGATTGATTGATTTTCTTTCTCTCTAATGGCAATGCCAGTCACACATCTGCAAGTGTCTGCTGTGAGCACTGAATTTGTTTCTGTACAACTGTACTGCAGAGTACCAAACACTGCCATGTCTATCTGCAGTGCTACAGTGATTGCTGCATCCTCATAACTTTTTATGCTTCTTCTTTGCAGGTACTTCCCCTTTGGCATTGTATTTCTCATAGCTGGAAAGATCTTGGAGATGGAAGATCCATCGGTTATTGGACAGAAGCTGGGACTGTATGTCATTACAGTAGTGTCAGGGCTTGCCTTGCATGGAATCATCCTCTTACCTCTGCTTTTTGTGCTCATCACCAAGAAAAACCCCTTTGCTTTCATTCAGGGGATACTGCAAGCCTTGCTGATCGCCTTAGCTACATCTTCCAGGTAGGAAAACATGGCTGGAACCTGTGGCTACTGCAGAGCAGGGATCTGCTTTAGCCAGGGAGACATGGCTGTGTCCGGCCAGGTGAGCTCTGGGGGTACAGGTGTAACTCAAAACTGTGCTCCAGCACTATTTGAAATGGGAATGCTCCTGCTTTCAGGAGGAAGCAGATGCTTGGCCCTGCCCTGGCTGGCCAACCCAGGCAGCTCATGGTGCTCTTCCACTCACCCTGTCCCAGGGTTTTCCCAGGGCAAACCACCAATGGTTTTTTTGTGTGTGTGTGCACACTTCATTTGATTGCTGCAGTTTTCTTTCCATTAATTCAAACCGGGACTGTTGTAGGTGCTTTATAAACTGCAGGGGGTTATGATCCTGGAGTTTAACTGGAAACACCAAAAGCTCTTCTGAACACTTTACTGACAATCTAAAATCAACTACAGTGTATCCCAAGTTCATCCATGGAAAAATCTTGCCTACTTCGGAAATATTTTCATCATTTTACATTATATTTACCTATTCTATTTTCATTGAAATACATTCCTTATAACAATGAAAAAAACTTCACACTATAAATTAGCATCCTTTCCAGGAGACACAAATTCAAACATTTTCCTGGAGCACATCTGACCAGGCAAAGGGTTTTTCTGGCCTCTCTGCTGCTTGTCCACATAATCCCAAAACCACCTGGACTGTGCCTCCCTTCCCCAATGCCCACTGCTGCAATTCTTGCTTCTGCAACTCTTAATACCCTGGTCTCCTCCTGAACCTGGATCTCCGGCTCTGTCTCCATCAGGCTTCTCCTCCCTCTGTTCTGCAGCCAGCTAAGGGAGGGAGAACTGTCACAGAGAGAACACCCTGCTCCTTGTGCCAGCCCCATGGTCTGTGGGCTGGGGCCATTGCTCTGCATCCAGAGCCCTTCCCAAATGCAGTCCCCGCCTCCCAGAGTCTGTTACAATCCCATGGGCTTCTTTTCTGTGGTTTCCTTTCTTCAACCTGTTGTTCTTCCTCCATTCCTCACCCCAGTTCCTGTGGGACAGTTGTCATCTTCATGCTAGACAGAAACAAGAGAGAGAGGTCAGGGTTGCAGAAGCTGAGGCAGGCATCCCTCATGGAGGAGACAGTGAGGACAACGGGGGGTCTGGCTGGACCCCAACTCAGCCAGTGCCGGCACAGTCCCACACTCCAGGAGGTGCTGCAGGATTAATGAGAGCACCAGGGATGGTCAAGAGAGCTGCAGCCATGGCACACAGGTCATTAAAGTGGTGCCTTCAGCCAGTGAAATAGCATTCTGACAATTTCTCTCTCAGCCTGTAGCCCACTTTGCTGATAATGTCTCTTCCCCGGGTGGTGAGAGCGGAAGAGATTTTCATTGCTACAGTGATATTGTGGCATGCACAGTGATATTGTGGTATTTCTGTCCCATCACACTGACTGCAGCTTACAAAGCTCAATACAAACTGCAATTACTGCTTGTTTCTTGTCCTGCAGCTCAGCCACCCTGCCCATCACCCTCAAGTGTCTCCTGGAGAACAACGGCATCGACAGGCGCGTGGCGCGCTTCGTGCTCCCCGTCGGGGCCACCATCAACATGGACGGCACCGCGCTCTACGAGGCTGTCGCTGCCATCTTCATCGCCCAGGTCAACGAGTATGAGCTGGATTTGGGACAAATTATAACTATCAGGTAGAAGTTTCTCTGCCGCAGCCAGATTATTTCTCTCTATTCCTATTTATGGACATTAGGACAACCTCTTGCATTTTTCCTGTTTGCAGAGATCTTGTTAATGCACAGTGACCTTTGCTGGGAAGCTGAGGAGCAGGGGAGGGAGCAGCATGTCCCAGTCCCTATGGTGTGTGCCAGGGAAAGCTGGGCTGGCTCTGCGCCCCTGAATCTGCTGCAAGTCAAGGACTTTGCCTGTAGGGAAAAGCCTAGCTGCACAGACATGTGGCTGGAGCAGGTCAGCACTGCAGGGCTGAGCACAGAAGGATTTGTGCAGGTGTCACATACTCCCTTTCAGGAATGGGATATTCTCATTTTATAAGCAGGGAAATAAAGCATGTAACTAAATAATAATTAAGTACATTTGCAAATATTTAGTAATTTTAATGAGGGAGTCCCTACCCTGAAGGCAGGGGGGAGCACAGAGGAATTTGTGATAGCACCTGGGAGCAGGAGGGTGGAGGAAGTCCGATCAAATCCAGTCCTTCCACACAGCAATAACTTACTCTGCCATGCAAACACACTAGTTTGAATTGCACAGCCACCTTCTCTTTGCAGCATCACAGCCTCAGCAGCCAGCGTTGGGGCTGCTGGGATCCCACAGTCCGGGCTCGTCACCATGGTCATCGTGCTCACCTCCGTGGGGTTGCCCACCGAGGACATCACCCTCATCATCGCCGTCGACTGGGCTCTGTAAGTGCTCTCCAGGCCACTGCTGTGGGTAGTGCCCTGTGTCAATTCATGGTGATGTATCTTCATCTTGGATGTAACCAGACTGCTCTCAAGACAGAAACTGATGCTGGATTACACTTGTCACAGACAAATAAACTCACAGCTTGTGAAATGTGCCATTCTAAAGTACTAAGATAAAAACAAAGTGAGTCATTAGGTGAGAAACCACAGAGCAGATGCTGAGTTAGGGAAGTGACATGAGGGTGGCTGGTTTGTACTTTCCAGCCCCCCAGGGAAAAGAGGGAACAGTGCCAAGTATCAAGGCTGCTTTTCTCTTTCCTTCCCACTTTTCTTTCCCCCAACAAAGGAAGGTTAGCACATCACCAGTTGAACCTTCCAGCATCACAGAGTACCCAGCGCTGCTGGCACCTTCTACTAATGTGAGAGGTGCCTGTGTAGACAAGAGAGGACCAGTGGCTGGATCTGCAGGATTTCTTCTCGAGAGGCATCTCAAGGAGCTTTATGACTTGCTGAGGCAGCTCTCCCTGCACTTAGCACAACAGTGCCTGTCCCACTTTGGGAGGTGGCCCTGGCAGGTCCCTGCACTGCTCACAAAGCAGGGTCAGACAAATGCTGCCCCAGCACCGGGCTCACATAGGGACCATCTTCTCTCCGCATCTCCAAAACCAACACAGCACTTGTTAACACCAGTGGGAGGGACACTGAGGATGGGGGCTGACGTGTTCCAAAGCCATCAACACCCTGGGCACACTGGCTGTGGCCACCCCCTGCATCCTGGCACTGTCTCCCCGCAGGGACCGGCTGCGAACGATGACCAACGTCCTCGGGGACGCGCTGGCTGCTGGCATCATAGCTCACGTCTGCGAGAAGGACTTTGCCCCAAAGCCCCCCCCGGTACGTGCGGCACGGTGGGAGGGCAGGGGGTCGTGGAACATAGCAGGACAGGCACAAGGCACCTGCTCACTCCAGAAATTAAAACCCTGCTCTTTGCTTTTTGCAGCAAAACCCAGTGAGCAACACAGACAAGTTTCCTTCTTCAGAAACCTCACACCTGCATCCCAAAGACAACGGGATTGAAATGACGGAGGAAACCCTGTTGGATCAGACAGGAGTTCACTATAACATCTGCCAGGTGTAGATAACAGCATTCCTGCTCCCAGAAATGGCATCTTGGTGCTAAACACTGACATTGTGAGTGTCGCATATGGATGCTCTGCAAGATGAAGGCCTTACTTGGCACAAAAAGTGGGAAAATCCTCTCTTACGCTTTTAAGATTGTGGGATTCCCAGCAGGCACCCAAAGAGCATGGTTCTGCCACTGGGGCAGGGAGCCAGCTCCTCCCTGCACCTGAGGACACAGCTGGGAGCTCACTGCCCTGTCTTAAATGGCTGGGTTTGAAGGATTTATAACTCCCATTTTTCCAAGCTCACCTATTTTTGAAAGCTAGGCATGTGAGCAGGTATCAGCAGATTGGATTTGGTGAGAATGCAGTAGGAATGGGACATAACACTGAACCCTCTGGCCAGCAGCTCTTCCCTGGAGGCCAGGCTGTGCTCCAGAAGCTTTTGTTTTCCTTATTATAGAGATTAATTTTTTTTAATCAATGCTTTTTATTTTACTACTGCATTCTCATCTAAAAACTAAGATTAAGTGAATTTTTGTCTCGAGATCAAAATCCAAGTTGGACATAACTGGATTTCCCAGCTGTCAGGTTACAGACAGGATGACTGAGCTGTTGCACTCTCTCAGGGACAGTGGGATCCACTGGCTGGAAGGAAGGCCGGCCCATCTGTACACCTGTTTCTACAGCTGTTTTATTACAGAGAACTAATTAACCAGGCCTAACTGCACTGTGCTGATTGTCCCAGCTAAGGATCTGTCCCCAAGCTCAAATTCCAATTACAGCCTTAAAATCCAGGCTTCCCAGGGCAGCCTTCTACACAAAAGCCTTTTATTCCAACAATTCATGTCAGTGAATTAATTTGTCTCTCAAAATGTCAACTCATTCCTTTTCTCCTTCTTGATCTTTCCTGACATAGAATTGGGAATGGTAACACAGCTCAGACCCCCACTCACATCACTGAACTGTTCTCCAACTGTACATAAAGAAAACATTTTCTGTGCAGAATTCTTTCCAGCTGAAGTCAGAGGTTGTAAATTTTTTTTTAATTTAGAAGAAATATTCATTTGTTTTGCCAAATGAAAAGCAGAAACTATTAAATATCATAAACCACCTTTTGCACAAAAATTGTCTTCTTTTAACTTACAAAAGCCGTCGCATAAGTAGAATCCTGGGCAACATAAGCTTGAGACACTGCTGCTAACTTTGGCCTTTTTCACCCTTTCTCCTTGGTGAGGTCAATTAATACCTTCTTAAACATTACAGCCCAACTGCTCTTCAAGGAGCAGTCACATCATTCACAAAAATAATCACATTTCAAATCAATCTCTGCAGCTTCCCCAGACATCCCTCCCTCCTTCCCACATCATTCATGATCACTTTGATACATCACACGCTGGTTCAGCATCACTGGCTCTGAAGGGCTTCGTGGTTGTTCCTCTATAGCAGCAGTGAGCCCAGCCACCCACACCCCCTGGGAGATGCTGGTGAACACTGGGGAGGCTCCAGGCAGCCCCAGCTCTGCACAAGGACCGAGCATTCAGTCAGTCTGCAAGATAGCCACACCCCGCAGACACAGCTGGACAGACACCTCCAGTGCACCTGCTCCAACACAGTAATTAAAACAGGCAGAATTATGAGACCTGTTTGGTCAGTCACTGGTGCATGGGAGCACCCACATCCCTCCCTGGATGAGTCCAGGCCAACCAGCACGGACACCAGCACAGGCAGCAGAGATGAGCCCCATTTCACTTCCACTCTCCTCTCATTAATGAGCTCTGGATATTACAGCACACAATTAACCCTACAACAAAAGGCAAGATGCAACATCCACAGCAAAGGTCCTTGAGTGAGTGCTGGGGCTGGAGGATGAGCCTTTGGGCAGTCACTCCCATCACTGGGCTCTGGCTGCTGCAGACCAGATCACTTTATCCCCTGCCCCAGAAACTGCAGGTCATACTGAAACTACTTAAACAGCACATCCTTGAGCTCACTGCAACAAAGAAAAAATATTACTGAAAAAACTGAATATCACAGTAATAAATCTAGAGCTGGTGAAGCCAATCCCACCCTGTACAACTCACCCCAGGAGCTGCAAGTCCTGTGCTTTATCAGTCCCAGAATGGCTGGATTGGAAAGGAACTTAAAGCTCATCTCCCATGGGCAGGGACACCATCCAGTAGATCAGGCTGCTCCAAGCCCTGCTCAACCTGGCCTTGAAAGTGTTGGTAATATCTCTTACCATCTGGTGAGATTCACATTAGCAGAGATGTTTTGATTGTGGAAATCAGCAGGAAGTATTTTGGTGCTAATAAGGTTAAGTGTCATGCTGGAGTCCACATAGCCTTGTCCTTGTGACAAATACAGCAAGGGAGACCTTTGAGTCCAGCAGCCTCAAAACTGGGCTGTCATCACTGTGCCCTCTAACAGGATAAAACAAGGGAAAAAAAAATAATTCAGGTGCTTCTGAAAATCAATTTGTGGTCTGGTATAGAGGAAGGCATTGTTATTGATGGGGAAAACCCAAAGGCAGCAAGGACAGTCCATCTTCAGCACTGCACACAGGTACAGGAGAGGCACCTGAACACCTTTAACAGGGTGGAAATTGCAGAAAAGTAAATGAAGCAGATTTATGGGATGGCCCAGCTGGTGAGGGGCCCACTGCTCCAGACTATGCCTTTGGGATGGCACCATCCCAACCCCACCTGTGTTTTCAATAATCTGCTGCTTAGGAAACACTGACACCAGTGTTTATCTGCTGCTCCGGGGGGAACAGCAGCCTACCTGTGCCACCCCTGAGAGCTGGTGACACCCATGGAACCCCAGAATGCCAGCAGGGCTTTTGTAGAGAGCAACACAAACTCATCAGGGGCGAGGAACAAGAGATTTCTAGAAGATGAGAAAGTAGCAGAGTCTAGACAAAGTCAGTGGGCACCACCTGGAGGAGTTTTATTCTGTACCAACTGTATTCAGGAGACCAGGATGGGAAGGAGGTGAAGTTCCACGTGTCCCACATCAGGAAACCTGAGGGGTCTTCCTTGGCAAACAAACTCGTCTATACAGCCTCAAAAAAGGTGAAAAGAAGGGTGCTGGCACTGCCCAGGCTGCCCAGGGAATGGTCCCGGCCCCAAGGCTGCCAGAGCTGCAGGAGCGTTTGGACAGCGCTGCCAGGGGTGCTCAGGGTGGGCTTGTTGGGGTGGCTGGGCAGGGACAGGGGCTGGGCTGAGCATCCCTGAGGGTCCCTCCCAGCTCAGGAGATCCTGTGGTTCCATAATTAAATTCTACTGACTGACACACTGCACCTTCAAAGTCTTATAAACTATTTTCCCAGGCATCAGTAAGAAGAAGAGGTGCCTCTCTCTGTTCTAGCACTGAAAATCTCTCTGTTATTTCCATGCAATTAGAGAAGTACAGGCAGTGCAAGGCACACACTACAGCACAGAAATCTGGGGTACAGAAAGCACACAAGCTCAAACCTGTACTTCTTCCTTGGGAATCCTTGTTTTCCTTATAAACAAAAATCTTAGCTGCTATGGTAATACAGGTGATCCCTGGGTTATGGCTGCTGTGTATGATATTATAATAAAGTTGGAGAGCAACTGGGTGAAGGAATTTGGCTGTTATACAAGTGTTATTTTCCTGAAAAAAATTGAAGGAAAAAACATTGAAGGAAAGCTACTCTGGTGAACTAAAATCCATGTGGAAGATATTTATGGGGTCTGTGGTTATTAAGCAAAAGGAAAAGCTGAAGCAGCTGTTGGTTTTGGGGCACTTCCCAGACAGAGGGACAGAAAACCCACCTGTTGGCCACATGAGCCTTGACTGGGGAATGACATTTCTGCAATGGTATTTGGGAATTTGAGGATGTGACTGGCCATAAAGTGAATTTTCATTGAACAGAATGACTTGAGTGTATACTTTATCCAAAAGTCATTGGCTTGTTCCTACAAGCCCATGGATAATTTGCCTCGATCCTACAGACTGGTTCATTTCCATGTTATCAGCAGTCTTCCAGAGAACAAATTATTTTTACATATCTGAATTCATAAAATGATGAGTTTTGATCAGAGACTTTCACTTTTATATTATTTTCACACCTTTTTAGGATGTATAAATGGAGTTGGAAGGGCACTGTCAGCAGAGCGCTGCTGACATCCTTCCTTCGGATCACAATGCACCTTGGTTTGTGTTTTACTAAAACTGAAAAAAATAACAAAATAAGTCAATGCTGTAGCATGTGGCAAAATACAATCCAAACAACAGATGTGAAAAGCAGCCCCAAACTCTCTTTTAATTTAAAGTATTACTACTACTAGTAGTAGAATACTACTACTTCAAAATTAGTCTGCAAGTTTTCTAGAATAATTTTGAAAAGTCCCTTCCACAAAAAATTTTGAAGGCAATTATTTAAATCTATTAAAACCACAGGTTTCTCTGTAAAACCAGATTTTCAAAACAGCCCTGAATGACAGATATGGCTAAAGTAAGGGTTTTTTTTGACAATCACAGCATATAATTTCCACTAAATGCTCCTCTAAGGAGTGAGTGCCTCCCTGGGGATGTGTTTTCTGCCTCTCCTTTTCCAATTCACTGTAATGCATTTGTTTCCTTGAGGAACTCCTAATTTTGACTGAAGTGATAATAAAACTTTCTAGAAGATCTGAATGAATTATTTCAGTGCCTCCTGCAGGCAGGTGCAGCTCAGTGCATCACCCAGGGTTCCACACAGCCCAGCCCAGGGCAGGGCAGGGCAGGACGTGGTGCCACAGGAGCACACGAGGCACATCAGGACCTGTGCTCCTGGGACCATTTGCAAACTGTACAAGAGTTAGCAGTTCAGATCTAGCTCATAAATTGCCATTCACTGTTCACATGCAGAGAATCTCATCCCACACTGTGTGCAGGTGTCGGAGCCCAGGATGTCTCTTTGAATCCCTGGCAGGGGGGTCAGAGACCCTGGCATTCAGCCAAAGACCCCTGCAGCTTTGAGTTCGACCCATGGAACAAATTACCACCTTCGTATGAAGAACTAAAGGTCACAAAAGTTTAGACAGCATAATAGCAGTAGTTATAGGGTGAAAAGAGAAATTTTGGGGATTTTACTATAGGGGTCTAGGAGGCAAGATGGAGGGATTTGGGCATTGTCTTGTTCTTCTTCCTTGTTCTTCCTAGCCTCCATCTTCTTGGTGATGGGGGCACTTTGGGATTGGTGTAAAGTAGAAAGTCACTGTCTAACATAGGTGGTAGGTATTAGAACATAACTGTAAATATCAAATACAAAGTTTATAGTATAAAAGACAACACCAGCCCCATGGGAGGGTGGTGTGCCTCAGACTGACCTGCAAAACAGACCTCAGCAAGCCAGACAGAAAATGTTTTAGATAAGAAACAAACAACCTGAAGAACTACAGCCGAAGACTTCTGATTCCTTCTTCAACAGCTGGGTTGGGGAAAAGAGACTTTAATACATCTCGGGGTCACCTTGACCAGAGGAGATCCTGAGAAGCAGGGACACCTCACACCATCCCAGGCTGCTCCAAGCCCCTTTAAGCCTGGCTTTGGGCACTGCCAGGGATCCAGGGGCAGCCACAGCTGCTCTGGGCACCCTGAGCCAGGGCCTGCCCACCTCATAGCCAAGAATTTCTTCCTAATATCCCATGTAACCCTGCCCTCTGGCAGTGGTAAGCCACTGTCCCTTGTCCTGGCACTCCAGGCCCTCTCTGGGTCTCTTGCAGGTTGCCTGTAAGTTGCATCTGCACCTTTGCTGGTCCCTCAGGGCCAGTTTAGATTACCCCCCACCACCCCAGTGCCCTGCAGACCCCATCAGCCCCCAGCCATGCATAGCACAGGGTGCAGAGGTGCCTCAGGGACTCTTTACCTTGGGCCTCCACCAGCCTGGGCAATTCTGCAGCGTGTCCCACCTCACTGTGTTGGATGTTTTCCAGATGCAAACTTCACAGGATTCAGTTTGGGGAGGAAGCTGTAACATCCCCCTGTAAGATGCTTAAAACCCACGTCAGGAGCAGCCAGACTTTTGCAGGTGCAGAGGTCCTGGCACCCAGGTGTGCAAGGTGCACTTACCTTTGCTTTCTGGAAGCTTCGTGTCTCATTTAAACTACACAGATGAAGGGCCCTGTAGCCAACAGTGAGAGCCAGGCACCTCTCTGAGCAGTACATCTCAGGCTTTAGGAACAGATGTCCTCAGAAGGCTCTTACTGATGGGTTTGGACTGGGCACTAAGACTTTAATAGTTTGAGTCATAGGTGAATCCCACCCTGAATTACATGTCTGAGCAAGAAACCTATTTTTAGAATCCTGAGCCTTCAAACTCTAAAAGCCCCTATTTTAGTTTTCACTATGAGCCATGGACTTGAGCAAACCACAGCTCAACACAGACAGGAAAGAACAGTAAGGCTGAAACATTACACACAACCCAAAACTTGCTGCTCCACTTACCTGGCCATTTCACCTCAGAGATCTTCTACATACTGTCCTTCCTGGAAACACAATAAAATTGGTATTTGGTCATTCTCCTCCTTCTTTCCCTTTCAATATTCCTGGAGTCTTCAACCATCTGCAAAGCAGGATTTTAAACCACATTCTGGTGCTAAAACATTGAGAAGAGCAGCATCATGATCCCAACTTCAGAACACTGTGTTGTCTCCAGACATCTCACTCCATTTCTCTGTCTTGCTTTCTCTACCCCCAGCTGTTACTTACTTTGACAGGCTGCAATCACTAGAGACAGACAAAGCACATGCTCTTTGCACTTACAGCCTGGCAGACATCTGCTGGTGGTGTCATAGCTCAAGCCAGACTAACTTCCTCACAATTCTCCTCCTAATGCCAACAAAATGCAAATCCTGACCTTTAATTGTTGGTTTTTATCAAGCAATTCTTCCCCACAGGATGCAGCATGCACCCAGTTGCTATTCAGTTATGAGCTGCTCTTCCTGACCATGCTTCCCTCTAACCTGAGCACCAATCTGCATTTCCTAGACATGAAGCCTTAAGTAACAAATAAAACATTCATACATACCCTTCCAGAGCAGCACACATTGCTCACAACTAGTTACCAAAGCAGAACTCTGTTCTAATTCACTCTCTTACCTTTTCAACCAGGTGCAAACCAAACACACAGGAAGTGCTCAGACTCTGGGTTCACCTATGGACCTGAATTATTTCACCTTTTGAAGCCACAGTCATAAAACCTGTCTTTCCCCTCATGACCCAGCGAAGGCAGGAGCCAAGGTAAGCCTCAGCAGCAACACAGCCAAGCAGCAGAGAACAGAAACAACCTGGTGAGTCCCACTGCTCAGGGTGAACACCATGCATCCCCCCAGCAGCTCTACTGGGGCATTAAACCCCCCAAAGCTGGCAGATATAGACCAGAGACACAAGAATCCTGCAAATGGGCAGAGACGAACAATCCAGACGCCTCTTCCATTGTCCATCACACCCTCAAGCACTCAAACACAACTGAAAAGAAAAAGCACCCACCAGGAACATCTGCTGCTGCCAGCAGCAACAGCCACACGACTCCACCTACTCTGAGTTGGACTGGGGACAAGGATCCCCACATCCTGGTGCCCAAAGCAGATGGCCTCGTAACAACACCCTGTTTCACAAGAAAGAACCCAGGGTGGGGGTCTGTACCAAGAGAGCCATGGCAGGGAGCCCAGGGCAAGCCAATCCCCTCCTGTGTGTGCAGCTCATGGGGCTGCCCCGGCTGTACAGTCCTGACGCTCCTGGCAGCCACACACAGCAGGTAAGCTCTGCCCTCCTCACCAAACCACCCCTCAGCTGGATTTCACCTGCGACCATCAGGAACACACTGCTTTAGCCCAGGATTGCAAAGATTGCTCTGAGGAGGATTTGATTCAGTGACAAGCCCCACAAGTCCTCGGCTGGCTCTGGCCAGCAAACAGCAAACACATCCATCATCACTGCAGAGGCAGCACTGACTTCACCTGAGAAATGTGTTGAGCTGGTCAAAGTTGTCAGCAGCAGGTGTCTGGTGTGCACAATTCATTCTCATCACTGCATCATTACCCTACACAACATGCTCACTTCCTTCATCTCCCACCCCCATGAGGAAAACCACCAAATTGCTCAGCTGGTTCCCTGTCAGAATAAGCAAGGCAGGATGGCTCAGTTCAGCACAAACACGTATCACAAGGTTTGGGCCTCTCCATCTATTTGCTCATAAGCAAAAAGAGCTCAGCAGCACAGCCACATGCTGCACCTGGGAATGGGACATCCAAAAAGCTTCTACTCCAGCTTCTTTGGGAGAAAGAATTCACTATCTGCCCATTCTGAGCCTCCTACATCACCTGTGTAACCCCTGAACAACAGATGCATCGAGATTTTGAACTTCTCATCAACAGCCTTCCACTGCATTTTCATAAATAAACAAGTGACAATATTGCCAGTAGACTGCCAAATCCTGTCCTGGAAGGATTTCCCCACTCCCAGCATCTCCCAGCCAAAGGATACAGACTGGTAGCACACACAGAAGTAAATTAACTACCCCAGCAAGAAGCTCTTCTGGAAAGCTTCAGTCTTGTGTCACAAGTTGCTACAAAGCACATGACTGAGCCTACAGGACTCACATGGACTCTCCTACTCCCACAGGCCCTGAACAATCTGCACCCAAATCTCCCTCTCACAGCTGTGTCCCACATCCCCGTTCCCCGTCACAGCTCCTGGCTCCTGAACCTGTGTGTGCACTCCTCTGCATCACGCCCAACCCACGCTCTGGGCCAGAGCATTTACACTCCTTCTGCCTCTCCAAAACCTCTCCTCATACAGGAGAGTGGGAATGGGGAGGCCAGGGAAGAGCTACAGCATCTCTCCACAATTTCCAGCAGAGGATGCCATAGCACATACATGACACTTCAACACAGGTAAATGCTGAAAATGCACCCCAAAGATCTGGGAAATCGCTAATATCCCACCAGCTGAAAACTTTCTGCTAACCCTTCCAGGCTGCTTTCCTTCTTTAAACCAACTCCAACCCTAAATTTCCTGTATTTGTAACTACCAAAGTTTATTTAGTGGTATGCAACACTGTATGAAATGCTTTACAAAGGTCCATGTAAATGGGAGTTACTGAATTTTAAAAATCTATTTACTTACTATTCTCAAAGTAACATAACAAATAAATTCTTCTGTGACAAAATGTATTTGAACATTTTCATTTAGCTCTGTATCTTTAAATTCTGTTATTCAGAATTTGAAGCATATGGGTTTAGAGTCATTTTTTGACCATGCCATGGTGGCATGGAGCATCCTCAGTTCAGAGCCCTTTGGAAGAAGTTGCCACAGCCTTCATTCCCTACTTCAGCACCCTGCAGGGGTAAGTGTCCTGTCTATGGAAACACATGGTGCAGCACAGGGATCAGTTTAACAGGGCTGTACCAGCCCATGCCACACACTCCTAACACACATTTGTTTGTGACGTGCAATTTTCCACACATGAGACACTGCCAGGAGGGACAAGTTAATGCACTTCCTACCAAAACTCTTCTGTTCAAGATCACATCTCTCCTAGTTTTAGTATGGCCATTACCTTGCAGGTCCTTGCACCTCCATTGCCCAACCTTCTGTAAGCAACATGCCACACTGTCCCTTTGGCTGGACACAGAGCTGCTTCCTTCCCCACTTCACAGTTACAAATAGCTCTTTCCTTCCTGACCTTTGAAAAGTACCTTTAGCTTCTCACCTCCACTGCCCCATTTACTGTGATTTTAATACCTTGGGTTAGATTTTTGCCAGTGCAGGTTTTATGGCTTTTGCCAGGTACATGGACTGATGATCATACCAACAGTTTTGACTAAGAAGTGACTCCAAGGACTGTCCTTCACATCCACAGTCCACACTCTAGTCTAGCTGCCTTTTCAGAATAATTAATTCCTACCATTTTCTTGAGCCCCCAGCTGACCCCAAGCACAATCCAGTGCACTTTTTGTTAGAAGTGCCATATTACACAGCCTGATCCCAACCCTTTAACTGCCCCTTTAGCATGGCTGGAATGGGG